AAAAAAAAAAAAAAAAAAAAAACTTATGGAATTATATGGTATATGAAACTTATGATATAGTCCAGAGTATATAGTTAAAGAGCCTCCCTCTTGGAATTTTTTAGAAAGGATTTATGAATATTTGTATTATTATTATCATTATCATTATTATATATTTTAAACTACTTAACATCTTTATTGTTTAATACTTCACATACCATGGAATTCATCTATTTAAAGTATACAACTCAGTGGTTTTTAGTATATTTATAGATGTGTGCATCAATCACTACAATCAATTTTAGAACATTTTCATCCACTCATAAAGAAATCCCTTATCTCTACAGATTTGCCTATGCTGGACTTTCTGTATAAAAGTCTTTTGTGACTAGCTTTTTTCACTCAGCATAATATTTTCCAGGTTTGTTCATGTTGTATCATGTTTCAGTACTTAATTCCTTTTTATGTCCAAATAATATTCCATTGTATGGTTATACAGTGTTTGGGGCTTTTTTTTTTTTTGCATTCATCTGTTTATGATATTTGAATTATTCCAACATTTTGCCTATTTTGAATAATACCACTATGAATAATCATGCCCAAGTTTTGTATAAGCATTTATTTTCATTCTCTTGGGTGCATACCTAGGAGTGGAATTGGTGGATCAAATGGTAAGTCTGTGTTTAACTTCTGAGGAACTGCCAGACTGCTTTCAAAGCTGCACTAGATTACATTCTTCCCAGTAGTGTATGAAGATTCCATTTTCTCCACATCTTTGCCAACATTTGTCATTATCTATTTTTTTTATTATAGCTATCCTACTGGGTATACGAAGTAGTATCTCATTGTTGTTTTGATTCACATTACCATGATAACTAATCATGTCAAGCATCTTTTAATGTGCTTATTGCCCATTTCTACAAATTCTTTGAAGAACTGTCTATTTATATCCTTTGTCTATTTATAATTTGCCTATTTAACTTTCTATTTTTGAGTTGCAAAAATTCTTTTTATATTCTGGAAATTATCAGATATATGGTTAGCAAAAAAAAAAAAAAAAAAAAAAAAAAAAAAAAAAAAAAAAAAAAAAAAAAAAAAAAAAAAAAAAAAAAAAAAAAAACATTCTCCCATTTTGTGGACTGTCTTTTCACTTTATTGGTAGGATCTTTTCCAGCACAAAAAGTTTTAAATTTTAATGAAGTCCAATTTCTTTGTTTCTTTGGTTACTTGTACTTTTGATGTCATATATAAGCTCATTGTAGTTTGATTTGCATTTTCCTGATGACTAATGATATGGAAGGAATCCCTGGGTGGTGGAAATGGTTGTGTGCTCGGCTACTAATCAAAAGGTTAGCAGCTCAAGTCCACCCCAAAGAACTTTGGAAGAAAGGCCTGGCTATACATCTCTGAAAGATCACAGTCATTGAAAATCCTATGGCACACAACACACTTCTACTCTAATAAACATGAGGTAACCATGAGTTGAAATCAACTCAATGCCAACTGGTTTTTATTATTATTATTTTTTTTAACGATATTGAGTATCTTTTCATAGACTTATTAGCAATTAGTATATACTCTTTAGAGAAATTCAAATCTTTTGCCTAATTTTAAATTGGGTTATTTAACTTTTTACTATTGAGTTGTAAGAGTTCTTTATGTATTATAGATACTAGTCCCTTATCAAATAATTGATTTGCAAATATATTCTCCAATTGTGTAGATTTTCATTTCATTTTCTTAATGGGATGATTTGCAGCAAATAAGTTCTTAATTTTGATAAAGTCCAATTTCTCTATTTTTTTCTTTTGCTTTTTATGTTTTTGGTGTCATATCTAAGAAGGCTTTGCTTAACCCAAGGTCAAAAAGATTTACTCATATCTTTTCTTCTAAGAGTATTACCTTACATTTAGGTTTAAGATCTATTTTAACTTAATTTTTGTGTATATAAGGAAAGATCCAACATCATATTTTTGCATGTTGATATCCATTATTCCTGTATCATTTGTTGAATAGAATATTTTTCCTCATTGAAATGTCTACACATCCTTTCAACTTCAACTGACCATAAACGTAAGGGTTTACTTCTGGACTCTCAATTCTGATCCATTGAGTTATATCCTTATGTCAATAACTCACTGTCTTGATTATTGTAGTATTGCTATAAGTATTGAAACTGGGAAGTATAAATCTTCCAACTTTGATCTTCCTTTTTCAGGATTATTTGGCTATTCTGGTTCCCTTGTATATTCATATGAATTTTAGGATCAGTTTGTAAATTTCTACCCAAAAAGCCATCTAGGATTTGGATAGGGATTGAACTGGATCTGTAGATCAATTTGGGGTATACTACCATCTTAATATGAAAATATAATGTCTTTCCATTTATGTAGGTCTCCTTTAATTTCCTGAAATGATATGTTATTGTTTTCAAAGCACAAGTTTTACACTTCTTTTGGTAAATTTATTCCTTAGTATTTTATTATTTTTGATGCTATTGTAAATTAAATTGTTTCTTTGGTTTCATTTTTAAACTATTCACTATAGTGTATAAAAAATTATTTTCATATATTGATCATATACTGACACTGTAGCCTTGCTGAATGCATTCATTCATTCCAATAGGTTTATTTTTCTATGTGTATGTTAATTCCCATGATTTTCTATACACAAGATGATGTCATCTGTCAGTAGAGATATTTTTACTTTCTTTCAAATCTGGATGCATTTTATTTCTTTTTCTTGCCTTATTTTCCTTGCTAGAACTTTCAGAACAATGTTGACTAGAAACTGTAAAAATGGACATCCTTGTCTTGTATTGATCTTAGGGGAAAGCATTCAGTCTTCATCCTTAAATATAACAGCTGTGGGTTTCATTCTTAAATATCATGTTAGCCATGAGTTTTTGTAGATGCCCTTCATCCATTTAGGGAAGTTCCCTTCTATTTTTGCTTTATTGAGTGTTTTTTTTCTTGAAGAGGTGTTGGGTTTTGTGAAATACTTTTTCTGCATATATTGAGATAATCATGGGGTTTTTGTACTTCATTTTATGTATTCATGTGTTACATTAATTTATTTTGGCATGATAAACTGACCTGATGTTCCTAGAATGAACTTGGTAATGGTGTATAATCCTTTCTATGCACTACTGTATTTGGTTTGATAGTATTTTGTTAAGGACTTTTGCATCTATATTTATCAGAGATATCATTAATGTAACAAATCCTGTAACTGACCTGAAGAGAACCTGATGTTTAAATCTTTTGTAATAATTTACAACCAAATACAATTATTTAAAGATATTTTCTCTTACCTCAATGTAATCTGTATCACAATGGACAGAATCTCCAAGTTCAAAGCCAGTGAAATTGAGAAGAACTACTTGGCTTTGAGGCTGGTGGATGATCCATCTACATATCCTTTCTCGAGGATACACGTTCGGATAGAAAGGAGAGCGAATGACCCCTTCGCCAGTTAATTCACCTCCACAAGCTGTAATATGATGACAATTTTTGTCCAGAGGTAAATTATTCTAGTCTTCACTTTATTGAAAATACTAATTTTGCCTAAAGTGATAAATAATCACAGAACTATAATTATCAACTCCCATAATATCAGGTAATGTGACATTCCTATGAGAATTTTTGTCTTGTGACTTGAAGACATAAAATGACAATATTATTTTGAGACATTAAAAATGTTAAAATCAGGCAAATTAGACATTTTGAAAGTAAGGCATAAGTTTCCTTACCCACTTGATAAACAGCTCTGAAACCAGCTTTTTCAATGGAAGCATCTATTTTAAACCTGATCCAGATTCTGTTAGAAATGGAGTTAATGTGTGAAATAGTTGAATTGCCACAGAATTTTCCAAGTATAATGTCATCATCTAGAACCTAAACAGGAAAATAAAAAAGAACTATAATCTTAATCAATAAAAGTAATTCACAATGATGGCACTATTTGGAGATGAGAAAATGATGTATTCAAAATGAGTGACAATCTAATTTGGATTTATATTCTTATTCTTATTCTTTTTTTTTTTTTTTTACCACAATTCAATAATACTAAATATTGATATAAAATCTTAAGGTAACTATCCAAAACATAAGAATTTTTTTAAATATTCTTATAATTTCCACAGTGTCAAAGAGGAAATAAGTTTACAAGTTTGGATTATTTAGAAAAGAAAATGAGATTATTATATATCAAAATACATAGGTTTCAGCCAAATGTGTACTCCGAGGAAGTCATAACCTAAACTAGTTCCTTTGTTGCAAGAAAGAAAGGAATGAAGGAAGGGAGGGAAGCAAGAAGGGGCAAAAAGAAAGGGAAGGAGGGAAAGAATCTAAGTAGCCTTTTTTAAAAGTTAGAAAAAGACTAAAGTAAAAATAAAAATAAAACCTAATAAATAAAATACAAAAAGGAAACAGAATTCACAAATACATTGAAGAACCTTATTTTGAGGCTGCAAGTATGGGAACAATCAAATCTGAGATTAATAGGAATTCAAAATTTGTTTGAAATTATAAATTAAGTTCACCAATAAATCCAATAAAGTAAAACAAATAATGCCAAAATTTATTAAAAAAAACTCTTAGAATGTTAGAAGCAGAATAAAACTTCCTTGCTATAATAAAGAATACTTGTTTCAAATCATAAATAATATCTTCATGATGTAGTGGGCAGCAGCACAGTCTATGGAGCCTTATAGGTTTAGATTCAAATGCTCACTTTATGTCCTCTTCTGAATCCATTTTGAACCTCTGGTAATTCCTTGTCAATGTACAGCTGAAGCTGTTTTTGAATGATCTTCAGCAAAATTTTTCTAACGTGATATTAATGATGTATGTAATAATTTCTGCATTCTGGTTAGAGTAACAAACCTAAACCAAACCTACTGCCATTGGGTCAGTTCTGACTCACAGAGACCCTGTAGGTCTGAGTAGAACTGTCCCATAGAGTTTCCAAGGCTATAGGTGTTTATGGAACCAAACTACCTCATCTTTTTCCTACAGAGCAGCTGTTAGGTTCAAACCACCCATCTTTTGTTTAGCAGCTGAATGCTTTAACCATTATGCCAACAGAGCTCCTTAGATATCCTTTATTCAATAATTTCTTTTACCAGGCATTTTACTAAGTCACATGCTTATTTTATCTAATTGCTTCACAACTCCAAGTTATTAAATATAAGTCTTGCTTATGGAGTTGTGCAAAGTGGCAGCAAAATGAGGATATCATTGTTGCTATCATATGGATCTTTGCCAAAAGCAGAGAATATCAGAAAGTCATTTACCTGTTTTATTGACTACCTGAACTTATCACAGTACAACCTGAGAGATAGATGGTGGATATACATACTACCCCTGTTATATAAAATTATTCTAGAAGTGCCAATTCATTCAATCAGCTAACATTACCAAGGCACCAATAAATGCCAGGAACTATGTTAGATGCTAGTAATAGCCATAAAATTACTTCACAATGGTGGCACCATTTGGAGATGAGAAAATGATAGATTCAAAATGAGTGACAATCTAATTTGGATTTATATTCTTATTCTTTTTTTAAAAAAAAACACAATTCAATAATACTAAATATTGATACAAAATCTTAAGGTAATAATACCTAAACTAGTTCCTTTGTTGCAAGAAAGAAAGGAATGAAGGGAGGGAGAGAAGGAAGAAGGGGCAAAAAGAAAGGGAAGGAGGGAAATGCTCCTTGGAGGTGAGAATGGCCAGACTTCATCTCACCTACATTGGTCATGTTGTCAGAAGGGACCGTTCCCTAAAGAAAGGTGTCATGCTTGGTAAGGTGGAGGGTCGACAAAAGAGGGGAAAGCCTTCAACGAGATGGATTGACACAGTGGCTGTGACAATGGGGTCAAGTATAGCAGGGATCATGGAGGTGGCACAGGATTGGGTGGTGTTTCATTCTGCTGTTCATGGGGTCACTATGAGTTGGAAATGACTTGATGGCACTTAACAACAGCAACAACATCAGCCACTACTCACAAGGAGCTTAAAACAAACAAGTACTTTTTTTAAAAAGCATGATGAGCATCATCATTAAGAACATGGATGCTGTATTAATACTTGACACAAGTAGGTATTTTGGAAATTTATGAAGCATTTTAAAAACTATTATCATCACAGTATGGTGAGGTATTTAATTAATTAATTGGCAATTAATTATGACTGGGTACCAAGAATATTAGACAGCCAAATTTAAGAGACAGTTACACACAATAATTCTGTATCGTACATGACATTCATATATAGGTGAAAGTTGTGTTATTAAGCCTAAAATCTACCTATCTTACATATTAATCACAAAATATTATTGTACTATTTTAATACACACTGAATTTCCCAGGATTACAAGTAGAGTGTAAATTAAATTCCCACTTTTTCCTCCTGGAAATCATCCAAGTGTTGTTCATCATTTCAGAAAATGAATTGTCAACCTACATAGCCATGGCGGCCCTCAACTGTACTGTGGCAGACAGGAAGATTCTAGATATATGTGCAAGCAGCTGGCTACTTCATTGGTCTTCAGGTGCAGCTTATTCAGGCTTTTAACATACTGAAAAAATTTTATTTTACTTTGTTATTTTACTTTCACCTCTTAATTTTATAGTAAGAGCTTTATGTTGTATTAATAGTATGTGTTTAGTTTGGTTATACCATCTTGTGAAATTCATTTTAGAATAGTGAAGGGGTGATATAAAAAAAGATGTTAAAATGTAGAGAACCACTGGCTTAAACAAAGAGTCTGAACTCATCCAGGGGCTCATGGGATGTTTTTTTTAAATTTACATTTAATTTGTTTTTATTTTAAGAACTTGTTTTACATTCAACGTTACACGTACATTTAGTTTCACTCCCCATTTACCATGTTCAACCCTAACCCAGTCTCCTCCCCTCCCTACCCAATAACCCTCCCCCTGTGCCCCTCTTATTTACGCACTCCTGTTTGTCCTGCATTTCCTCAATTTGAATGTTGGTCTGCTGGTGCCCCGTGGTCTATTGCTCTAAGGGATATATTACCATAGAGTATGTGTGTGAGTCATCCTGGGTTGAGCGGTCTGCGTGTACATCTTGTTAACTGTTGGGCTGAGAGCCAGCCCCTGGGGCTGAGTTTTATTCCAAGTGCAGAATGTATTCCAGTGCCATAGTATTGGGGGGTCTGCAAGGAGGCCACATCTTCTGACCTCCTCTAACCCCACAAGAAGAAGACAGAATCATCACCAATAGCCCAACGCCTATTCCTGTGAGGCCAGATATGCTGCCTCCCTCTAGCGATTTCATCAACCCTGACACCAACCGTCCCTCCCCCAGTACCCACCACCTTCCTGCTGGGTTCAATAATTCGCTGCAGTGGTCAGACAGAACTCACAGATTATGGGGTTTATTAGGGAAGCACCAGGCTACAATTCAAGTTCAGGAACAATGCTCAGTCTCTTGCAGCATGCCATCTCTCAGCCAACACTCTCACAGTCTCTCTCCCAGCAGTGCATTTCTAGGTGTCTCTTTCTTAGCAGCACGTGCCTCTCAGAAGTGCATTTTTCTCTGCAGCACGTCCTTCTTAGCCAGCAGTCAAAGAGATGCCTTCTCCCTTTTGGAGGGCTCCTTTTTGAGGCCAAACCAACCAATCCCAACATCAGAATTCTATACACCTGAGAGAGAGAGCAAACTACCCAGAACATTACTTTGTGCTGCTCCCAACAGAAAATACCCCAGGTGGATGATTTTAACAATCAGGAGCTACTCAGTTTCTCACAGCAAATTCCACCATGGCGTTTACAAAGACTTAAGGCTAGAAAAGCCATACCAAGTAATTTACTACACTGCAGGGTCTCATCAGATTTTATCTGACCACTAATTCTGGTCATTATTGAGTTTCTGGATGTTGTTCCACATTTTTCTTCCCACTCTATCTAGGATCTCCAGATTTGATCCTTTCCTGAGTGGTTGGCATTAATAGCCAGGCACCATCTAGTTCTTCTGGTCTTGAGGGTCATTGTGTCCTAGGGATGATTGCTTCTAAATGCCCCCCTTTTTTTTTTTTTGCATTCTTCTTTGCTTCCAATGCTAGCCATTAGCTAGCTGCATCTTAGATGGCCACTTGAAAACTTTTAAGACCCCAGTTGCTACTCATAAATGTAGGATGAGGAACAAGGCTTTTATGTATTTTGTTGTGCTAATTGAGTCTGGTGTCCCCAGTACTATGGTCCTGAAATGGTAGATCTATTGGATCTCTCTCCCATAGTGTCTGGGTGTCTGTGAGAGATTACTCTGTGTCTGTCTTCTACTGTTTCTGTAAGGATTGCAGGTGTTTTATATCACTGGTGTCTGTACAAGATTAGCCTCAGCTGAATCTATTCTTGTGCACTATAGGGAGCTCTGGTAGCATAGTGGCTAAGACACTTGCCTGCTAACCAGACGGCTGGCGGTTCAAACCCACCAGCCACTCCTCGGAAGGAAGGTTGGGCAATCCTACTTCCGTAGTGATACTGCCTCGGAAACCCAAGGAGGGGTCGCTATGAGTCGGGGCCGACTCGACGGCACATAACAACAACAACAACAGGCCAAGTGGAGCAAGGGAAGTGTCCCAGGCCAAAGAACAAGCTCATGGAGGGGAGGCGGGGTGTGGGTTGTCAGCTGAGGGGGGTGGCATGGAAGAGCCCACATATAAAAGGGGAAGGGGAGGCAGAGTGATGAGAGATTGAAAGAATATTTAGAAGTCAAATTCAGAAGTTTATACTCTATCAGAAGATTTATTAAAGAGTGTTAAGCAGGGAAGTGACAAACTTTGTGTTTTCATCAGTAATAAAATACGAAACAGAAAATAAATGTATAGCTGTTAGAAAGGAGGAAAAATAACCCTATTATTT